TCAAGAGTTGTTTGTGGGAATGGAGAATCACTGGCAACAGGATAACAAACTATTAAACTACTTGATTTAAGGTAAGATATTTCATTTTCAGGTAATTTTAGCTTTTCTAAGTCTTTTTGAGTGAAAGTAAAACGATTTTGCTCAGCTAACTGTGCGGCTAATTCAGAAAAATTATCGAGAGTTTTCTCAACAGCGGACAAAGCAGATTGATTATCTAAACTACTTAATTCTTTGTTATTTTTAACAAGACATCTAATAACTTCACAATAAAACTGTGTAAGTTTTAGAGGAACTGACTTATCTCTAGTAATGTTATTTTGGATTTCATACTCGATGACCGCGCACATCAGGAAACACMTCARAGGGACGCGACCAAATGACATGAAATGTGCGCTTCCTTTGACTATTTCGACTGCCATCTTTTTTACTTCTTCTGGTTTAGAGTTAAAATACTTCTCAACATATTGAATTATTTGAGTTTCCGAGAAACCTGTAATTTCCACACATCTGTCAAAGTGGAGTTTTTTGTCCAACTCGTCGGCTTCGCCCGGYCTTGAAGTTATCAYGATGACTGAATCGCGCAAGATCTTTTTTTGGATTAGTTTGCTGACCAGGGCAACTACCGGCATTTTGGTTTCAACATCATTTGTAAATTGGCTTTCAAAGTCTCCGATTAATTTGCTGTGATCTTTGTATTCATCAAATCCATCGAGAGCAACGAATAATTGGTCGGGATGCTGAATGATATATTCCATTAGTTTTTCGTCCATCTTGGTTCTTTCGTTCAGTAGAKGGGAGCGACTGAGAAGTTCTTGGAGAGCGAGTTCTTTTTTGCTAAGAAGAACAAGCTGCCTGAACGTTATCAAGAAAATGAACTTGATATTAGTGATYGMTAAGCAATCTGTTGACCAGTCTCTGATGATTTTCTGCAAGAACAGAGTCTTTCCAATACCTGGTTCGCCAGAAACCAAAATTGATTTTGGATCGCCTTGTTCATTTTCGCCAACAAAAATCTCAGCGATTTTCGTCACTGTCTTTCGAGCGCGTTGACTTTTTTGAGCTTTTTCTTGTGACTTCTGCTTGCCYTGGTAGACAGTTAAATTGGTGAAAATATCGTCAGTTGCCGTTTTACGTTCGTCTTCTTCTGCTGTTTGCTGTAGACATTCTTTTCTCCCGTGATAAATGGTCAGATTTGTGAAAATATCGTCAGTTTTCAGTCTTGATTGRTCTGGTCCTTTTGGCAGCAAATCTGTTTGCTTTGTTATTGCTTCCTTGAGTTTGACAGAATACAATTCCACATCTGACAAAGAAAAGGAGTCGAAATTTTAAAATACGTTAGATCTTGTTATATTTCAATAAATTTAAATCAAAATATACTAAACAATCAATATTTTTTATTTCATTCAATCATATAATAGTTCGTTTTTTTGCAACTTCTAAAAAAATAAATCAAACATATTCAAAGCGGCAACACATTAGTAACAAAAAATGATAAAATAAATAGTAATAATTTAATATCTTAATGAAATTCTGCAATACGGTGAAGTCAAAAATCCCCAGAAATAGATATTTAATTWATACACYTTGGTAAAGTCAATTGCATTGTTTTCTTTCGTGTCTATTTGGCTATTACACTTTAACAGGCAAGTTTTGTTTTATGGGTTTATTTCATGCTGATGCTTGAATMATCATGATCAATAAATTACATGATTTTTAGTTTCAATGCAATTCTCTGACTTAGAGCATTTTAGAAATCAATAKACTTTATCTTTGCTCAAACAAAAAAAATYAAATTGAACAAACTGTGATCATTTCATTTAACCATTTACAGTGAGGTGCTCTTCAACAGATTAATGGAAATGTATTTAGTAGCGTTACGGAATGTAATCAATCAAGTATTGAATATAAGCGTGCAGGTTGATAAGGTATGAGAGTTCCCTAGTGTGATTTCACATGCGGAGTATATAGTACATAAGTGTGAAGAATTAGTCATTCAAAGGTATCTCGCATAGTATACCGATACTTTCAGAGCAAATTTCAAGTTTTACATTTTCAGAGTAAGCAGATTATAAATTGGGTGTGAAAACGTCCGCAGTTCATGCATCTTCTACCTGGCTGTACACCATTAATGTTTTGCTATTTAATTTTTTGCCATATACGCTGCCTTGTAAATGATATATGTCTCTATATTGCCTATAATATAATAATAATAATAATATGTGGTATCTATATAGCGCCGATATCCTCTGAGTTCACAGGCGCTTCACTTGTATAGATCATTTCACACCTTGTAAATGATATATATCTCTATATTGCCCATGAGACATGCACGAATAAATGAGATGCCCACCACCTATATGTTGTCCTGTGGTTATTGTGAGAAAGAAGTTTAGCTATTAAATATTYTATACTCGTTCAGAAGGATAAGAGTATAAAAGTTATTGGTTTCTGACGAAAAAGGAGAGGTTTACTAACTAAGGCATAATATGCACATCATGTATAATTACTATAATAAATATTTTAAGTATATTTCTGAAATCTTTTAATTGATGACACCAACCTTCACTTGACAAGTCTGAAGATTTTGAATCAGGTCTCTGTAGGTTGTCAATTCCCTCAAGTACTTTGTCCATTTTTTTCTCCAGTTGATCAAGTTTATTGTTTACTGCAAAAATACAACTAAAATTATTCACAATTTCAGAAAGTACATTACACTAGCTCAACAATATTTATAAAATGTTAAAATTAATATAAAAAAATATAATAAAAYGTTCTACAGGGAAATCTGCATTCTAAATACTTGGCAAAAATGTTGATTATTACACAAGTACTTACTTGCACCAATTCCATTTAGGATGTCTGYATCTTGTGATGCACAATGTTTTACTAGACATAACACTTCACTCCACGGCTGTTGCACATCTGAATAGAATACAGGATGGAAAAATGTTAATATTTCTGTTTGATTGTTTATGCTTTGATAGGATGTGAGGACAAGTGCTGCATATTATAATTACATAGCATCAAATTTATTTGGAGGAAAACTTGTAAATTTTTATACATTATTTTATTTTTTAAATTTTTATTCTAGAGAAGTGAGCACTATATATATGCATAGCATTCTAGTACTCACACTAAAATGACATCATAAAGCATAGGTTATCGACATTATAATGTACCTCTCTCAACTTTCTTGAAGTCACTTGGCAAAGCACCAACTAACAACAATGCATTGCAGGCATCAGCATACAGAATGGCAAACTCTGCTGATTCAATCTTCCCACTGCCAGTGTGGCAAAGGGTGTTTCTTGTTTCAATCAAACACTTTAAGCCATCAGATAAAGCTTTATTGGATTTTGGTACAAATGGGGGCTTGGAGTACAAAAGAGCTTTGATGAAAATAGATAAATCCCATGTTGTTGAGTCACCTGACTTGACTTTATCTTTTTCATAAGACTTTGGTGTGAACTTTGTCAACAAGTCAATGCCATTCTGATTGCAGTCAGTCCATGGATCAAATCCACCCAAAGCATCCCATTTGTTTATAAAAAACTGACGTAACTTTACCAGGCCTAACCTGGAAAGCAGTAGTATTAGGCAGCAGTAATTCCTGGAAAACAAACAAAATGCTGTCTTAATGGTTGATRTAAAAATGTCAGGGTGTTGAATGCAGATTTTAGGAATTAAACATTTTGATATCGTGAAAAATCCTAAAAAAAATTGGGAAAAGTTGCCCAAAGTTATGCATTTCAGGGACCTTACCTCTCCTCCTCATCCATTCATCTCTATTAGCTATGATCCACTAGAATTCCACTTATTAGGCCTCTAAATAACACTCTACAAGGAAAACCAATCCAATGTAAGTCTTTGGTTGCAGTTGGATATAAATAGTTATCAGAACAAATAAATTAGCATTTGATAATTCATTAATATACAGGAATTAATGAAATCTAAATACATATTTAAAATTTTATGCATAACTTACTATGACTAGAGGATAAGAGTCTACCTAGCATCTCTAGGGGAGGAGGGAGGGGGAAATGGAAGGGGAGGTGGCCGTGGTGGGAGGAGGGAAAAACAAAAGCCTTCTAGAACGCATGAATGTCACCATGATCGGTTGACCCGTACCTGACTGATCTTAGAAATCTTATACAAGTAGTTTGGTTTTTCAGTAGCAGATTTTGCACAAATAACACAAATGAGACAATTATAATAACGCTCAAACCAAAAGAAGCTCGAAATGAACTCCAGATTTGTTTTTGAACAAAAACAACGTGAAATTGTCAAGTGACGATTCGTAATTTCCGGTATAACCTCTTATTGGCTCATTGAATTGAATTTGAGCACATGATTAAAAGCCTATACTACCGTTTATTATTGTGGCCCGTGATAGCAGGATCTTTTTTACCCCTACTTCCCCCTCCCCTTCCATTTTCCCTCTCCCCTATGGWCGCTATGCACTAGAGCACAGTTCATTCTGATTAAACCAGTTCTTACTACCATTATGCATGATTGATGACAGAGTGTCTGTCAATAACACAACACAAAGTAAGCTCTACAATATCACGAAATGTTCAAGAAAATCTAWACCTTCCTTCACCAGAAATAATAAAACACTTGAAAAGTAAACATATTTGAAAAAGATTTGAAACTATAAGCTACGGCATGGAAATACCTTAAATTCCTGAAATACTTGAATGTTCAAAACTTTTTTCAAATTTTAACATTTTAAAGTACGCACTATGATTAAAACAAATGAAAAGCTTCCAAGTCAGTTATTGTACAATTTCCTCTAGTTGTAGAACCTTAATTTAAGTGAAAGTTATTGATAAATCAAAAACTGTTTCTTTATGCATGACTAATAACAGCGCGTCTCTTGTTTAATACAAACAAAAATAATGTCTTGATTCTTGTATTTATGCCCTAAAATCTAGAATTTTCAGCACTACAACCCAATCAAACATGTACAAAAAAATATTTTGAAAACTTTCAGTTACTTCTGGAAACACCTTAAATTCCTGAAATACTTGCTCCAAACTATTATGAAATATTTTGCCACATTTTCATTTAAAAACTACAAGTAAAACATATTAAAAACTTCCAAGTCGTGTCTGCAAGTATTTTCTCTTTAGAACTTCAATCTCAAGCGAGGTTTACCTAARAACTGTCTGTCTGCATGACTTAACACAAAAGTGTCTTTTAGTTTAAATGTAGACTTACGAAAGTAAGCTCTTACACTATACCACAATTTCTACATTATTTCCCTAGGCTGAATCACAAACAATACATAAAATCTCTTGAAAGTGTAAAATAAAAACACACCTTGAACTGAGCGTCGACCACCACAGCTGAGAGGCGAGAGACTTCTGAAGTATCTTGCTGTTGTATCACGTGATAAATCACATGTCTGGCAGCTGGAATGTGTCGTATGACTTCCATATATGGATGTAAATATTGATATCGATATGCTTGAAGGGGCATGCATTGCGATCCGCTAAAGAGAAGCGACGGGGTACGAGACTGGACAAGACGTCACCTCTCACGTACACATTACAAAATACGTTTGTACAAAAGTATGACTTCTAGACATAGAGAAAACTATTATGATTTGGTGACCAAATAAAATCCCTGTACATTCTACTATTCTATCTCTTTTCAAAAAAGGGTTGGGAGCGGTGGCCCGTGCGTGCAGGCTCTTGTTTTTTTTCCTAATCTCCCCTCCCCTAGASCCAATGAACAAGAGCACAGTTCATTCTGAAGCCAGATTTTAACCGGTTTAAAAACCGGTTCTACCACTATGCATGATTGACGTCAARGTGTCTTTCAACAACACAACACAAAGTAAGCTTGGTAATGACGATTGACGAATGTTCTAGAAATCAGACTCCAACACTATACACAAGAAATAATAAAACACTTGAAAATGAAACATATTTGAAAAAACATTTGGAAACTATAAGTTACGGCATGGAAATACCTTAAATTCCTGGAATACTTCAATGTTCAAAACTATTATCAAATTGCAACATTTTCATGTACAAACTACAATGAAAACATATGAAAAACTTCCAAGTCTTTTCTACAATTTTCTCTTGTTGTAGAACCTWAATTTAAGTGAGATTTATTGATAAATCAAAAAMTGTTTCTTTATGCATGACTAATAACAGCGCGTCTGTCGTTTACACAAACTAAAACTAAAATATATGAAAAGACTTAGTATCTACAAGTATTTTCTTTGTAGAACTTCAATCTTTTAACTAACGACAAGAGCGCGCGTTTATTCATGGTTTTATTTTAAAAGTCTTTTATTCACAACTAATTTGAAAAGAATAATTTTCTCTAACATCATGTCTGCTATAATTAAGATCTTTGATTTACAAAGGAGTTGTTGAATAAAATTCTATTTAACACAAAAATAAGAATTCAGTTTTCCCTATTTTAATTATTATTGTGATGTTTCAACAGTGAAGCCACAAACCGTGAAATACTTATCAGTYTACARCTAAGTCCTAAAAGTSGCTSTTTTGACGCYATTTATTTGTCTACATTGCCTATTTYATTCGTTTCACGGATTTAGAGCGTAGTCATTCAATTATATGTGAAAACAAATTGCGACTGATTTCAAAGTGTGATAGCTAATAGCCAGAAAAGGAAACAATACAATAAGTATCCTAGTGTAATATCTTTTTCACGGTGCGGTATTCATATAATTTTATTATTTTTTCACGTGTTTTTTTTTTACTTCAACATCATTTTTTTCACTCTAGCTATATTACAAATTAATACATGTATAGCCTAATTCTTTTATTCTTTTGTTCAGTAACAACGACCGCTTCTAAAAGACGACCACCTCAACACATTATTTCTACCTATGCAAGCATAACGACCACCTCTGTRCATCGACCATCACTGATTTACACAACGACCGTCTGTTTACAAATCTTCTCAAACTCTACACAATGACTATCTTTTTAYAATGCAAACCCAACTACGACCACCTCTATGCAACAACAGTCCATTTACAATGATCGCCACWTTAAAACCATTGTTTTCTGTATAACGAGTGACACTTCGTAAYGACCACCTTCCATTGAAACGCATCATCTCAATTCAACAACCATCTCACCAAAAAAAACCCGTATACTACAATTGCCATACTAAAATGATCTCARTCACAAAGAAGATATAGTTAATAAGTTTTCAAACCATCACACAACAACTTTACYTCAGAATTTCGACAATTTCCAAACACTGAAAGAGCAAACACCACAAAAACTACAACCTCTACCAGACAATCTTTACTTAACKACCACCAACTACATCAACCAATCCTAAGACACTTTTACGTAAGAACAACCCCTAATAAACGAACATTAGAAACAATTGTGTTGATATGGTCGGTGTAGAGAGGTTCGACCRGACTATACAGTGTCTTCTGCAGACATGAGAAGAGGGTTGATATACTCGAAGCCTTCAAACTCTGTTTGGTCTATATTTTCCAGAACTTTCCTGGAAAAAGAGAGAAAGGAAATTAGAATTGCTAAGTGTCATTGACATTGACATTCACTGTAGAATTGTGCCATCCACAGGGAGCCCGGTAATCTCAATGATTATCACTTACGGGTCATCTGGAGTGAACTGAACATCTTCATTGGTAAATTGAGGGTCGAAGTTTTCCAGWCCGTATTGGTCTTGTTTGTGTGGYTTGAAGGGCGGCGTTACCTGACGCGCCTCAAGCTGTAAGAAAATGGCAGTTCCATCTTAGAATTACAAAGGTATGAAGACCAAACAGAACAAGAGAAATAGTGAAAAAATGGATGGATGAGAAAGTGAATAAATTCAAGAAGTACAAACCTGTTCCCAGTTGACACTTCTGAAAAATACATGTGACGTGATGTCAGCAAAACCAGTTTGCGCATGACAACCAAGTCGTTCAAGAGGATTCTGAAACATCACACGTTAAAAATTAGCAAGAGAACTAATAGCGGTGTCCACGGTCTTGATCCCTGACTGCTAAGTTGAGCAACGATAAGAAAACTGTTCAATATGGCAAGCTTACCTTATTTAAAAACCCTTTAAGAATAGAAGCAGCTTTGACTGATAGCGATCGAGGGATTCGTATAGGCTTTTCCAAAATAACTATTRAATAAAACGAAACGAATGAAAATGAAAAAATGAAATGAAAAAGTGAAAGGTGGGATATCCCTATTGGTGCACAAGTATGTCTAGCGACTAATTTTTAATGATCAAGGAAAATCAAACGTTATTTCTATTGAACTTCGAGCTTCAAACTTATGAAACCGATTTAATGATTTCAGTGCCAAATTAAGAGATGACAATCAAGGGAAATGATCTGTGCAAACCTACCTTGGAAGAGATAATCTTCTGTGTTTTGATCAGGATTGTCTGCACTACCAACAATGTCAAACGGTGACCGTCCAGCCAACATCTCGTACAATAGAACACCCAATGCCCACCAATCGACACTGTATGCTGAAATAATGGTAACAATACGTATAAATGAATGAGCTGCGATCCCTGGGAAGTTGGGTTACCTGTGTTACGGCACCACAGGAATCCCATTCACTTACCGTAATCTTCCCCACGTAAGATTTCTGGTGCGATGTAGTTTGGTGTACCACAAAACGTGCTTGTCATGTCGCCAGGTCGTAAACCCTCCTAAGGGTACCACMCACAAAAGAAAGGAAAATCGTAAGCTTCGCCCTCGCTCAATGTTCGGAAACGCGTCGGATTTTTYCRATTTCTATTTACCTTACACATGCCATAGTCAGTTATYTTGATGTGTCCATCGCTGTCTAACAGCACGTTATCTAGCTTGAGATCACGATATATTATACCTACAAACAGCACAAAACGGACGATAACGGATGATTATCRATTATCATACGAATGAATACGAACAATTATCGATTGCCTGTATATAACGGTGAGATAATGATACCTTTTTCATGAAGGAAATTCAACGCACAACAGATTTCCGCAGAATAAAACCTACAAAGAAAAAATCTTCAGTTAGAAAAAAAAATAATGCCAGTCTCTCAGAGACRGGGATCCCATTACCTGGCATGGTCTTCAGGCAGTCTCCTTTGTCGTTGCATGTGGTACATGAGATCTCCTCCACTAACATATTCAATAACGAAAAATAACCTGAAAAACACAATTCATCTAGTGAGCATGCTCAGATTACACCACTCTGTTGTTAAATGTCCCACATGACAGGCAACCAGTTTATAGTCGTCTCTAAATACAGGGTGGCCTCCAGTGCAGACGGGTCTATAAGGATATTTTTTCTACCTCGCTACGTCTCCGTCAAAGATCAAAGAGATCCTTTCCTTCACTCATTCACAGAGAGCATAGAAAAGTGTGCCGATGAGGCTAGATAGAAGGCGGTCGCTTAATGGACGGTGGTTTCTTGATTGAGGGTGGTCGCTTAATGGAGGGAGGTCGCTTACCAGACGTGCCTAATGAATAGAGTTGATATAATGGTGTCTTACCTACTAGTCGTCTGAAAACAAGAATGTAATCCTACAAGAAAAGGGTGATTCGTTGCTTGCTCGAAGACGTGTTTCTCTGTTTGAACCCAATCGATATCCTATAAATAACAAAACTATGTTTATTAAATCAGTGTCATATTTTTATGAACCCAAATATTGAATTACAAATATATACTGATGGGACAAGAAGCAATGGTACAACTAGGACAAAAATTGCAAAAAAAAAACAGAAAGAGAAGAAGGGAAGGAAGGTTAGAAAGGGAAAAAGAAAGAAAACGAAAAGGGAAAACGAGGAGGGGGGCAGAAGGTGGAAATGTGCCTTCACAAAAGAGCGAAAAGAATGAATGAGACGAAAGGAAAGAGTGAGATGAATGAAAGAAAAAGTGGGAGCAAAAGATGAACGATACGAGGAGTACAAAACAGAAAATCAAAAAAAATACAGTATTACCTCGTCGTCATCGACCAATTCTTTCTTAACTACTTTCATAGCGTATATTCTTTCAGTTTTCTTATATTCAACCTTTAAGAATAATAGAAAATCATCGGTGACTTGCTCTGACAGATCACCTGACTAAATATCTCAAACATCCAGCAGCTACGACAGCATATCACGTGATAATATAATAGTTAAAGTAGTTGACGAGATTCCTGTGTAAGGTGATAGTGATTTCCATAAAGGGGACTAGAGCGAAGGAACAGTGAGTAACTCTTCCACAGTATCTCCCCTTGATTGCTTACCACAGGTATCCCAATAATTCAATCATTACTTACTAGCATGACTTTAGCGTAGCTACCCCGACCAATGACTCTGATGAGATGAAAATCGTTAACTGACACTAGTGAGCTGTAGCCGTCCTCAGGATCACGTGATCTTGATTGATTGCTGTAGTCAACGCTTACCAAACCACGTTTCCTGGTAGCAGGACTATCGCTACGAGCTGAAAAACAAAGCAAATATTCAGTAATCTCAGCGGGATTTTCCGATGTACATTTTTTTCCGATTTGCAATAACGAAGTAAATCCAATGTACAGTGAAATAAATAGCGACCATATATCTTATCTGTATGAACCGGCAAAAGGACGCGAAACGCGATAAAACGGCTACAATATGAAAAGAATGCCGGCAGCTTTTGATGTAATCGCAATCAATAATACTGAAATGGAACGATTAATCTGCAGATGATATGGTTCGAAAAAAGTGAAATGGAATGATTGATCAAAAGAGAACTGGAATGGAATGATTGATCAAAAGAGAACTGGAATGGAATGATTGATCAACAGAGAAATGGAACGTAATGATTGATCAAAGTGGTCATAAATGCCGAGACCTAAAATGAATTGGTAACAGACATGGAATTATTGATCAATATCGTTCCGCCTTTGAAATATGTATCACATTAGTCAGTAATATAAGCAACACAATGAAACGCATGACCGAGTATTTGGATGGAGAGCGACGATTGTAATATTAAACATTTTTGATAATCGAATATGAAATTACAACTTAATCTTGCTAGCCATATTCCAATGCAGCCTAATTAGAACGAATTCGAACCATTGATCATTTTTATCATAACGATGTATCAATTAGTATCATCCTGTGTAATGTTGCGTAATAACTAAATAAGATCCACCCCACCCATACACGGTAKATTTTTCTTACTTCGTTTGGGTCCTGTTTCATCAGTACTGGGTATTTTTGTTCCAATAGCACCGATGGGCGGTAACGATGAGTGTATTGTTTGAGAAGTCTGGAATACAGAAATTAGCATTATTATTTTTTGGAAACTGAGATTGAACTATGATTGACTTTAAATGGTGATGACACTACTGAGCTAGAGGCACTTATGTCTATAAGATAAGTATAGTTTGAAGACCGTTTGCCTCGATAATACTATATTTATGCACTAAAAGATCATTATAAGAAATAGAGCAGAGTCACTTGAACCATGAAATAGAAACTAAATATTTAGTAACTAATAGGCACTATTTAGACACTATCACTGAACCAGAACAGTACAAAGAGATTACTTTGATTGTTAAAGTGGTCTCTTGGGTATTGCTTATTGGATCAAATATAGTGTTCTGGTTCAGTGCTAACGACTATTAGGAACTAATAGTGCCTATTGGTTAGTACTTTTTAGTTTTTATTTCATGGTTCATGTGACTCTGCTCTATAATAATAACGACAATGCCACAAGACTCTTTCTTACTTGCATAAGTTGTTGACCACACTGAACTTTGATGAGTTTGTGACATTTTTTATGAACGACAAGTTTACATTCTAGACACTTATAACCCTACAAATAAAAGAAATAGAAAATTTAAAAATAGAATACAGGTATAGGCCTACAAAGTAACAAAATGGAAGAAAATATAATGCAATAAAAAAGGAGAAAACAAGAGAAGAACAATGGAATGAACAAAGGAAGGAAGGAAAGAGGGAAAGAAAGAAAGAAAAGAAAATGAGAAGTAATGAAGGAGGGAGAGATGGAGGAAGGAAGAAATTACAAACAAAATGAAGATCAGAAAGAAAGATCAAAGAATACTTACAGATCTGCCAAGACCCCATATTCTATCAGAACAGAAAGCACATGCTGCAAGCTACAAAAGAAAAATACTTTACAATAAAATAAAGAAAATTGTCAACAGTATAAACATAACAGAATATGCAGGAACACATGAAAGATTAATGAGATGAATGAACAATTGAATGAGAGACTGCAAGGATGGATTGACTGTATGAAATGAAGACAGAATGGATGATAAAATGAACAAATGAGAACTGAATGGATGAATGAAAAAATGCATGATCAAATGGTAAATGAATGGATGGATGAGAGGATAGTTGATGGGATTGCTTACTCTGCTAAATCGTTTGGCTACAAATGAATGTCCGTTGACGATATGGATTTTTCTCCATCTTTTCGCTCCCCTTCTATAAATGTTTCCTATAAAACAAGAAAACACTAATAATCAGAACAGATGTCTTTAAACTATAAAGCAATATTCTATGGATTATAATTGGTTATTATTATAATTTATCAATATTATTATTCATCACAATCATTTATTAGACTAAAAATAATAAACAAGTTAAAATAAATACCACTAAATACCATGTTAATTCTGTAAATTTTATTTTTTCTATTGTACACTAGCAATATTTTGTAGTGAATTGCGTCAAGTTCTTCACTCATTCAGTGTTTGTACTCTATCGATAAATGTTTCTCTTTTTTTAATACTTATAAAAAGATGTAAGTTTTAGACCTTTTTATTGTTATTAAGAGGCAGATTGGTGATCAATTTTGTCCTTAGGCATTAAGATACTTTAATATCTGAGCGCAGGTTGTTGTTTTAAATCCTCATTCAGAATAACTGCATATATTAACTGCATGCATGGTTCAATGTCTGTTGTTGAAGTGGCAAAAAGATCATGACGATACCACTTAGACATTTTGTCTTTAGACAATTAAAGATACAAAACAGAAGTAGGGCAATGATGTCAACAGTAAGCCTTCAGCAATCCATTTAACACAGACAAAATGGAATACAAAAATTAAATTTAGTAGGCAATAWGTCTAAGACATTTTAACGAAAAAAATCACATTAAACTTTTAAGACATTGGCGACAGTGTACAGTGTTAATACCAGATATACTTGAATAAGTTAGTATATAGCTGGAGGTAAGGCATTTAAGCCTTGGGCAATACATTTAATGGAGGCAAAATTAAGCATAGCACTTAACCTTGGAGATAAAAAAGTTTTAGACATAAAACATTTACCTCTGTCAGTTTTATTACATTGCTAAATATGGAGGTGACAAATAGCTGTATTAATTATAATATATTACTTTCCTTGGAAATACGTTTTAAAGATATATAATATTAAATAAAAGACTTTTTCTGAACTAGAACAAGACTTTTTTCAGACATTTTGATACTGTGAAATTCATATGCAATCTTTGAATAATGAATATATTAGAATATAGGCAGAGGATTAAAATAATCCAAAGGTTCAATTGAGATAATTGCAAAAAAAATTGAAATGGATAAATACATGTACAAATATTTAATGTTTTTAGTGTTCTTGTGTTAAAATTGAGTGAAAATATGCTGTGGACTTTTAACAAGTTATGAAATGGACAGAATGGCAAAATTAAAGCTTTAAAATCAGTGACATGAAAGAAATGAAAATTATGACTGGCTAACGAATAAACAGAAGGTTGCACAATATTAATAATAATAATAATAATAATAACAAATGGACGAAGCAAGGAATAATCAACTATACACTTATAATTCACCCTTAGAATAACAACAAAAACACAGGAAAAGAGACGAAATACATAAATTCATATTGAAAACAAAGGCAATGTTATACGACATTGACAGGAAGAAAAAAATTAAAAACATAATAACTTCTGAGTAGAAGTGGACTTCATCTCAATAAAACAAAAACACAAAAGGAAACGATTTTTGAATTAAGTTTTACACCTGTTTACTGGACTTTTGCTCGGAATTTGATTTTTTGAAAATCTAAAGAAGGTTTGATTTATTCATTGCTGTTTTAAATGTCTATAAGCTCGTATACAGACAAAAAAAATCCATTTAAATGTAATATCATATTATAAATTGCCATTTTACTAGCCTGTGTACATCCGTTTCAGGGTGAGAAACGGATGTACACAGGCTACCATTTTACAAAATGATACTTCGATTCAATATTTCTAGCTGAAGCAAACATTAAATTTAATTCTTAAAAACTAATAGAATTCTAGTAATAAAGCGAGGGAAAAATATCTGATAAAACTTGTGTTATAACGAGCTAAAAAAATAAATAAACAAGAAAAGAAAGAAAGAAAGAAAGAAAAAGAAAAACATGACAATAAAAATATTTTGTAGTCAACATAAATAAAAATTTTGTAAAACAAGAGAAAACATTGTATGAAAAAATTCAAGATAACAACCTCAAAAACAGACAATGTGCATTAATTAATACACAGTAATAATAAATAAAATGAAAAAATACAACCAACTGTAGCATAAGAATTTCTTAAAACCAATCTAGAATCCTGCAAATTGAAAGCAAAAAAGTAAATCTCAAGGAACTAAAGCTGACCTTACAGTCAATATGAAGTATCTATATTCATGAATGGGTATTTGAACACTTGGAAATCATTCATAAATAAACAGAACTTGGTTACATTCATATCTTAGTACAGTAGCAGAACTCCCACGTATATAAGATAAGCTACTAGAAACATTTCAAGAGATCTATCTTATTATTTTTTACTTGCAAAAAGGGAGATCTTTAGGCCAGGATAAAAGTAAAGTTAATTTGAATCTCTGGTGTGCACTATGCGAATAACATGATTTCTGAAATTTTAAAATGTTTAGATGTTATACATTTGTGTAATAAACAAAAAAGGAAATTCATGATTGAAAATCATTCATCATTTGTAGATTGGTTTCGTATATATTATATATAAGAAAAATTGCATTCCAAAAATATGCACAAAATATTGAAAGTAAAATAATATTTAATAAGAATGTTGAATTTAAGTCATATTTGTACTATTGGGAAAGAAAAGAAATAATTGAAAAACAAGAATGATTCACTGCAAAGTAAATCCTGGAATACATATCACTTCTATTAAATTGACTAAACTAGCAAAGGCCAAACAATTACCAAAATAGCTTGAAATCTCAAAGATAGGAAAATCCTCTCCTAAAGCAACAGAACGTGGACGTTTCTGCTTTGTAGGTGATTCYTCCTCRTGYGGTCGAAACGACGAAAAACTCCATGAAAGGCTTCCTTTAGCTCGTCGTATTGACCTCATAAACCGTTCTGATGCCTGCCTCAAGAAGTTATTTTCAGTATTCTCCTTGTCTGACTCATCATCAAGCTGTGATGCAATGGAGAAACTCATCGAGAATCGTCTGAAATTCATGGCTAAAAGGTATCACTTGTTTCCAATATTTTAATCATGGCTTYGMGAACCATTAATAAAGAACCATGGTTCCATCACTAAGCCATGGATTTCTCTATGTCAATAGCTGTGTTTCATGGCTTCTGTAACATATTATCATCCAACCAAGTAGAGGTCTAGTGGACTTGATATTCAGCTAGCAGGTGTAATGGCTAGATTGTTTGACTCATTATTTATTTATTCTTAGTAAAGCCTGTGTTTTGGTTCTTGTGAATAAAAATATCCCAAGTCTTCAATGAGTCACAGGAATTCTAGAATACATAATCAATGAATTCTAGAACACATAATCTGTGATAATGTTTATAAATCCAAGTCAGTCAGTGAGAAATACTTGTGAAAGCTRAGGGTGGGTTGKGAGTATAGCTGGCCAAAGTGAAATGCTTATCAACACACATCAAAAACTTCATTGAAAACCTATTAAGGAAATCTTCGTAAGCTCAACAATTTGTAAACCACACATTAAGTAAGTCTACTAGAAGCACTTTGAATATTAATCCTGATCTTAGACARACTTGAAGCTCTGACTTTTAAACAACTTTCATTTAAATGTGTAACATTTTAGCTAATTATTCAGAGATTCTTAAGAATATCTACCTGCAAAATAGCAGTGGTTGGTTGAATATTTGATTTGTAGCCCTGTGGGGTTTCTCCTGATTTTATCATGAAGTGATGTTTATATTTTGTCTTTTATAATTACCTTCATGTAGCAGGGAATTTTTACCTTCTAAATATAAACATCTTTAAAGTGCAATAATTCCTTTTTTGTATTAATAAGTAACAAATTCTTGTCTAGAAACAAGTAAATATATATTATCTATTAACTGCAGTGATAAGATTTTAGATCACATACTGATAATCTTTCCGCTCCAACTTTAGTTAATTAGAGGAAATGCTATAATAAAAATTGTTGTTCTTTCATTGTATTGTTGTTGTTTTTCTCCAAATTCTTTTATGTTTGCAATTTTGGTTTTCAGGAGGTTAGCTTGCAATTGAAAACATTCAAGAGTCAACTTTTATTTCCATCAATATTCTGTTTAGTGAATATTATTGACAGAGTAATAATTGAGGATGGCTTGTCAAAAGCAACAAAATATCCCTAAAATGTATCTATTTCTGTGGTGCCTTGTCTATAATCTTTCCATGTAATTASTAAGGCAGCTGGAGTCAAAAGTTGGCAGCTAACATYGAAAGGATTGCACTACACTTCAATTTCCAATAAATAAATGTCATTTATCTTAAATAATGTACCAAGTAAATGTAAATTACTTTACGTTTTGCAATCTGAATAATCATAAAAGRGCAATTTTTAAAAGTACAGAGATTACTTCAAAGTTGGACACAAAACTAAAACAAAAATTCTTTAAAAGAAATATGTTTACTTTAAATTTACAATGCAACAAGATCATGATTAAACTTGTCGAATAACATATCAACTTTAATATCATTATAAATTTAAAAAAGTCTCAAAATGAAATAAAGACTTAAATGAATGAAACAAAAATTATTGCAATATACAAATATAACGTATAACATATATTTCAATTTTCACCTAGTCCATGTTTGGCAATCCAAAGTTATATATGAACATTTATAGTTAAAACAGTGAAAGATATTATTTGGCAACTAAAACACCATAATTACAAAGTGATAAACTAATAAATATTCTAATAAAATCCCCTTCATAACGGYATGCATCTCAAAATGACATTACATGACTTATCTCTACAGGTAACATTATAGTATAAGCATTTTCTAAGTTGCCTGCCACATACAATGTAAATAATGTTGATATTTGTCAACATAATGATGCTTATAATAATAAATTTTTAAGATTGTAAGTGAATTCACTGGTATAAAATTACATGCAAAGATACTTCAAATAACATTTGTTGTTATGTTTTGTGTTTTTTTATAATCTTTTTAACAAAACCACACTAACCTAAAACTATTATAGCTTCTCAATCACTGTTTAACCAAAATCACAATAAATTTAAAATGCCAAAACAATTATAATTATCAAATTATGAAATAAGTATTGAACAACAATGGGTTTATTCAAGAATAGTCTTACAGTAGGAAGATTAATGTTTTGGAAGTAAAGACTGCATTCAAATACGATCTTGCAACTGAAGTATTCAGGGTTTTTTTTTAAATCAACACTTACTTGTCTCTCCAGAACACAGTTGCCCAGGTTGTTTTGGTTCGCCTAAAAATACTAAAAGTAAACAAACTATTGTTAAATACACAAAAAACTCTAAAATATACAAAAACACAAGAGTAGCTCATCAATTGTGGTCTCGCATTAGCCCCAAGTGCAACTGAGAACCTTTGCACATTCAACTTACAAGAAAAAATTGCAATCTTTGTTTTTGAATCAGTCCTGAAGCAATTTCAACTACAACAACCTTTTGTTAATAAAACAAAGGATTCAAAGTCTCTTGGATTCACATGGGCTTTTATGGCTAAGTATATTAAAAATTATTTCTAGTATAATAATAATYAATCAAAAACAAATTAAAGCATTAAAATGTACATGTAACATGTCTGTAAAGGAAAAAACCTTACAGTGTATAACAAGTTCTGAATCTCTGTTGATCTCGTAAAGTCTGATTGCTTCATTTAATTCCTCCTGACAGGAAATAGTACAAGGATCACCTATTGARCAAACAAACAAACATTATTRSACTAAAAAATTTAATATAATCAACTTGCCAAAACCCCACAACATGTATAACACTGAAAAATGTTCATGTCTGGYCTTTGTGGTATTACTCCATCTCTTTTAAAAGAACCGAAGACAGACGGATGTATGTCTGGAGGGAGGGAGGTGGAACACCTTAAATTTATGATAATATTAGAAAAAATAGTTGATGACTCTTAAGTTCTAGTTTGATTTAAAAAAATATTTCCTTGTCTATCATTTCCACTATTTGATAGTGTATTACCTGCATGGAATGACATTTCTTAA